GACATCATCTGGGGTGGTCTCCAGTGTCTTTGTAGATGGTTTGTATGTAATCAAGCCGCACAAAACGCTGGATTCACTTTCAGTGTGAACACACTGTAAGTGTTCCTCTGCTGGACAGATTCTTTAACCAGCAGGACACATGGCCGGATTTCTGGTTGAGCAGGGAGGCCATGGAAGTGCTACTGGACCTCCTCAACCAGGAACAGATACACAGATGGGTTGCCATAATTGAGACCCTGGTATTTCTCTTCTGGCTGCCAAGTGGGGCCTCATACAGGGTGGTCTCTTCATTGACACCTACATGGGCCCCCTGGGAGGCTTCATTGACACCTATGTGGGCTGGCCTGCGTTGGTCAACGACTCCATAGTGCTCTGCTGTAGCCCACTGAACAGGATTATACTCAACCCTACTTCAGGGCACTTATCCTCAGAGGGTACCCGTGCCTCCAACACCCACTCCCCGTCATCACTCCCTACAAGAGGCAAATCCATTAATGGACGATGCGGTGGACAGTGGAATAAAATATTATATGACTTGACTGAATACATGATGTTTATTATTTACTGAGAGTAGTGCATCTATATTGCCCTGTCTGCACAGCTAATCAACATTTTAATAATAATAGTCAATCTTGCATTAGTACAGAGTTTTATCTAAACTTGACTGAGAGACAAATAATCACTGTCTTGTTTTAAAATGACATGTGCCTATGAGTGCTATCCAAGTGGCAACCTTCCGGTTTCCGGGTTGAAGCCAACCCGGAAGTAACAAAAACTGCAATTCATCGAGTGGCCACTTGAGGCTGGCTGCAGAAGGGAGTCAATCACCATTGACCCCCATGTTAAAATACCCAACTTTACAGCAGAACAAAACATGTTTACAGCATGGTTAAAAAAATGCGCGCCAGCTGTTGGTGAGCTGTTTCTCCTTTCCCTCGCATTCTGGTTTCTCCTGTGCCTTCTCTCTCTCTCTCTCTCTCTCTCTCTCTCTGTGTGCTCTCCCCCTCTCCACTCCGGAGCCCAGCTGGCTACCCACACCTGCTCCTCGTTAACCTCCATCCCCGGTCGCCGCTTTGCGGCTTTAGCGCGCCTGGGGCTGGATGACGCTCCTGTGGCGACAGCACCTTCAAGTGCTTTTTTCAGGCAGATGCCGCAGCCCTCTGCTTTCTCAGTCCCTCCTTCTAAGACCTATATTGAAGAGCTCCAAAGGTGCTGGTCAGTCCCAAAGTTACTCTCTCATCACACTAGTGATTGCAGGAACTTGGCTTCCATGCAGGATGTAGATAACTATGGTTTAGACCGTATGGCCTCAGTCAAGCCTACCATTGCCTCATTGATTGTGTCGTCTGGTGAGGCTCTCAGACAGGATGCACTTTGCCCTCGTCCTCAGTGTAGACTGACTGATGATCTCCTCGCCAGGAGTTATAGCATAGCTGCACCCCATGGGCCGTATTGGTAATTCCTTTTCTCACCTCATCCTGGCTCTGTCTCAGACCCTGCAGGAGTCTGGTGTGGGTTTCTCGGCCCAGAGTCTTAGTGATGCATCTCTTCAGTCCTTTGCATTCATGTCTAGGGAACTTGAAAGGTTGATGTTGACAGTGACACTGGCCCGCCGCCAGGTCTGGCTGGCGCAGTCCACTCTGTCGGAGGGGTGTTGTCACACCCTTTGTTCCCTATCTGTGGTGACGGGTCAAATGTTTGGACCAGTGGCTCAGCAGGCACTAGAGCGCAGTGTGCACGCAGATCAAGCCAGGCAGCGGTTTGCTGGCCTGAGGCGGGGCACAAGTTCAGTTCTGCGACAGAGAGCTCTTGTGCCCTCTAGTCCCAGTTACACTCATCCACCTGCTCACCCAGGTGCATACCCTAGAGTGTCTTGCTACTCTGGGCACCATGATTAGCGCCGGCGTACTCCTGCCCGGCCAGCCTTTCAGGTGCCAAGAGGACCGGCCCCAGGTGGTCACCCCCCCAGGGGCCAGGGGAGCTCAGACCTGAGAACCACGGGGCCGTCGTCAGCCTGTAGAAGGGCATACACGGCTCGGAGGGTTCTATTCAGTGTATTTTTTAATTCCAAAGAAGGATGGCGGGTTTCGCCCAATCCTGGACCTGAGGGGGCTGACCAAGTTTTTAAAGGTGCTTCCGTTCCGAATGTTACGGATGGCAGATATCATCTAGTCAGTGAAGCAGGGGCCCTGGTTTGTGTCAATACACCTCAAGGATGCCTATTTTCACGTGCCTATTGCACCACACCACGGGCAGTTCCTGAGGTTCGCCTTTCGAGGACAGTCTTACCAATTCAAGGTGATGCCGTTCGGTCTCTCGCTGGCCTCTCGGATATTCACGAGTTGCATTGCAGCTGCCCTTTCCCCAATTCAAGCTGCAGGGTTGACTCTCATGCCTTACCTGGACAATTGGCTAATCATTTCCCCGACTGCAGAGCAGGCGGTCAGGAACACAGATACACTCCTTGGCCATGTGAACCAGCTGGGCCTTACGGTGAACTACACTAAGAGCAATCTTACTCCCAGTCAGAGGGTAAATTACCTGGGTATGGCACTCAACTCTCAGTTAATGAGAGCATCCCTTACCCCAAAGAGGGTGCATGATATCCGGCAGCTTCTAGGTTGCTTTCAGAGGTGCAGGGTTTGGAAATATGGCCTTTATCTCAGGCTGCTGGGCATGCTGACAGCAGCGTCCATGGTCGTCCCTCTGGGTCTTCTGTCCTTATGTCCCCTTCAAATCTGGATAAGGGGCAGGGGCATCAGAGTGTCCAGTCTTTGTTGCCGGGCCTTGGCGCCCTGGCGGAGAAAAGTGTCTCTCGCCGAGGAGGTTCCTCTGGGAGTGATTCCCTGCCGCAGGGAGTTTCTGGAGACGGATGCCTCTTTATCAGGCTGGGGTGCGGTCTGACAACGCAGAACCATCAGGGGTCGATGGAGCAGCCAGCAGAGGTTAGAGCACATAATGTGCTTGAGCTCAAAGCAATACATCCGGCTCTGCGGCACTTTCTCCCAGCGCTAAAAGGCCGGCATATTCTCATCCGGACAGACAGCACCTCGGAGGTGTATCAGGGGGAGCACCAGGTCCAGGCAGGGTCTGAGAGTATCACAGCAGCTATTGACATGGGTGTTTCCCCACTTTCTGAGCCTCAGGGCCATACATCTTACAGGCACACAGAACAGTGCGGCAGATGTGCTCTCCCACCAGGGGCCGCCACAGGGAGACTGGCGACTTCACCCAGAGGTGGTGGAAATGATTTGGCGCCAATATGGCAAAGCAGAAGTGGATGTCTTTGCCTCAGAAATGTCAACGCATTGTCCCCTCTGGGACTCTCTAAGGGAGAGGACCGGTCCTTTAGGGCTAGATGCCTTAGCTCATGCGTGGCCAGCATGCCTTTCCTCCAATTCTACTCATTTGTGTGACACTGGAGAGGGTCCGACAGGGAGGCCACAAACTACTGCTAGTGGCCCCTGACCGGGGAGGCCATGGTTCCCCCGTGCTTCTGAGGTTGCAGAGGTTACAGAGTTGAGGTGGTTGTCTGCTAAGACAGCATTTCTGCTTGCTGTCACATCAGCAAAGCGAGAGGGAGAACTGCATGCCCTATCAGTGAGCCCGAGGTGCCTGCATTGGTACCCAGATGAGTCAGGAGTTACTCTCCTACCGAATCCGTACTTCTTGCCAAAGTCGGGGCCTTCCTCGCACGTAAACCAGGCCATTGAGTTGACTGCATTCAGTCCACCAGGCTCATCTGAAGGCGTGAAAGAGCTGTCACAGCTACTGTATCCAGTTCGGGCCCTAAAGGCTTATGTGGAGGCCACTGCCAAGGTACGCAAGTCTATCAACCTTTTTGTTTGCTATGGGGGTTGTAGAAAGGGTGAAGCTCTATCAAAGCAGAGACTTTCCAATTGGATTGTGGATATGATTCTACACGCTTATAGGTCGCAAGGCCTGTCTGCACCTAGTAAGGTTAAGTGTCACTCTACTCGGAGTGTGTCCACATCCTGGGCGGCCCTGGGAGGGGTCTCTCTGCATGACATCTGTACTGTCTTCCAGAATTCATAGAACCTTAGTTACATTCGTAGCTCTCGTTTTTCTTTCGCTAGTTCACATATAATTCACAAATACCAACATGCAGTCGTGTTATTGTTGCAAGTTTCTTTCAGATTGTACCACAGATATAAAACGGATTTATTTTTCAGCTGTGGGGAAGTGCAACCTTAGTGACTCTTGCCCGAAAGAAACTTGGTTCAAACCAATTGCTAGTTAGCGGAGGATAGATCAGCATTAAGTTGTCAGGTTACAGCTCTGTCCTGTACTGTACATCTTGATAGTTAAATTAAAGTATAAAGAAAGGACGGTGTTGACCACAGAGAAGCTGCGGTTAGTAATATTACTAGGTGAAACCTGCAGAAATGCTGTAGCTAACGGAAGCTACAGCAACAAGTAAAGCCATCTATCCATCAAGAAACTAACTCACTACAGAAAAAGCACTTTATGCAAAACATACTGAACAACCTCCAAAACCTCAAAGTCCTGGGTAAAACAGTCTGAGGCAGACTGAGCCGGTGGATGGCGTTCCTGTCCTTCATGGTCGTGCTGAGCCTGGAGCAGATGAACTGTAAGAAAGCTAGTATTCAGAGCAGTCTGGAGCTTTCTGCTCACGGAGCGTACTTTTACCTCACAACATTACAACATCCGACACTGTAACATTATACATGACAAAAAGGGAAAGCTGTCCTCAATAAATTTAGCACGCAGAGATTTTGACCCTTTTGTATTTGTATCAGTTTGTATTTTGCCAATAGATACCAGTCTAAATTCATACAGAACAGGGAACTAAGACACAGTTATATATATTTGGACTGCTCTGCCAAAGTTCCTGTATTTTTGTTAATGAAAGGGAGGTTTCAGTTATTTGTCACAGATAAGAAATGAAAAAAGGGAATAAAAGAGAGGGACAGGTGGATAGAAACCCAGTTTCCTAAAGATCACAGACTGTAGGCACGTGGACTTAAAAAACTAGTCTTTATTTGAAATGATTTTCCTGCTCATCGGCCTCAGTCTGACAACCATCACGGGAAACTGCCAGTGTTTCACAGAGTAGCAGCAACATAACCATACAGTAATTCACATGTTTGTACATAATTATTTTAAAACAAACACCCAACGCAACATTCACATCTTTTCCTATGTACACCCAGGATTCCATGCTGAGAGCTAGTGTTTCTTCGCCTTGTCTTTCTTCTTCTTCTTCTCCTGGTATTCAACGATCTTCTTGTGAAATATTCCTGCAGGACAAAAGGACAGGAGCTCAAATCAGTTCACCGTCAAATAACATTAAGGTGTTTCAGCATGAGCTCAAGTGACAAGACTCAGACTTATTAAACTACATACTGCTGGTGATAGTACGTCTGCTAATAAAAACCCCTTCCAGCTGTAACTGTTGGATGCTAACAAAGAGCAGGAACCTTGAGTAGCTTTGTGTGTTTTGTCTAATGAGTTCAGTGATGGAGGAAGGGATGCTGCGAGTTATTGTGCTGGATGAGTTCGAAAGAAGGGAAGGGAACACATCGTTTGGGCTAAATATTCATGCCTTTGTTTTGGTAAAACAAAGTTAAAAACTGAGATGCCATTTGTTTCAGCTTTTATCTTAGGCTACGTCCAGACTGCAGGCTAAAGTGACCCAAATCATATTTTTTTGCCCATATGTGACCCCTTTTTACTTCCAGTTCGGTTTGGGCCACTTCCATATGTGGTCCAAATGAAGATACAGATCGGATCTTTTTAAAGTCTTTTTAGAGTCTGAACACAGAATTGATGTGACTTTGACATCACTCTAAAGCAGCTGTTGTCAAAGTTCTGCTGAAGATGGAGCTGCGGTGAATGAAAAAGCTCCTCAAAAAGCCATATTTGAACATGTGGCTTTCTTCTCTACCTCACTATCATCTGCTCACAAATTCCCTTTCTTACACCTGAAATCCACCAGATTGTGAGCTCTCTTCTGAGTTACTGCATGCTACTCGTGTCTGTGCAGACACAGTGGAAAGAGAGAGAGGGAGGGAGAGAGTGCCTGTCCATTTTACTGGCCTGGTGTGGCTATAAATTTTGACAAATAAATGCAGGTCTCAATTAGAAGCCTGGTTTGTTCTAAGCTGCTTATAATCGCACATACAATTATGTTTAGTTTTGTCAGTATGGACACGCTACACTTCGTGAGGTCAATACAGTTAAATCTGATTTTTTTTTGTAAAAAGAAGGAAAACTTCTTTCTACAAAAACAATTCAGATTTAACTGTATTGTAATTTTTTTTTTTACAACTTGTTAAAATAAACAGTTTGATAGCAGCTTATTTTCTGTCTTTGCTGAGTGAGAGTTTTGTGTGAAAAGAATTAAAAGGCTGTCCCAGATATAAGCAGGGTGAGTTCAGTGACTGAAGCAAATAAAAGCCCAGGCTGTTCACTTCAACTCAAACCAGATCTTCTGACACCATGCTCTGCTCCAGACCAGTCCACACTGTGTAATGCTAGCAGCAACGTGTTTGCTTATGAGAGCAGGACTTTCTAGGGCTACTGTGACCCCAGTGCAGGTGATCACATGTGATGACGCCGTCCAACGCCTGAGCTTTGCAAATGGAGCGTTCAGTGTGCAGACCGCTCTGTATGGACATGCAGCCAAGACGACGACCTGCAGTAAGGGCAGACCTCCACAGCAGCCTGCCAACACAAAGTGTTCTCTACAGGTCACCTTGGATATGGGGAAAAGATGTAATGGCAAGAGGGTGTGTGATATAAACCCAAACATCTTCCGTGCTTCTGATCTCTGCCATGGCATCCACAGATATCTGGAGACCACCTACACCTGCCTCCCAGCAGCAATCTTCAGCGTAGCATGTGAGGAGTCTTCAGCAAACCTGCACTGTCCTAGAGGACAGGTTATATTTCTCTACAGTGCTTATTATGGACGCCGTGACTCCACCACATGCTCTTCCCAACGACCTGCCTCTCAGGTCCAAAATGTCAACTGCTAGCAAAGTTGGTCAAAGCTGCAACGGGCAAAGCAGCTGTGCTATCAAAGCCAGCCACTCAGTGTTTGGAGACGTTGTTTTGGCACTTACAAGTACCTGGAGGTGGCTTACACATGTAAATAATCTGGGAATTAAACAACAAAATATTGCAATGCACGGAGTCAGTGGATGACATCAAGAAGCCAATGAAACATTGAAATTCCAAATAGAGCATATAGCCAAAGGTATTTGGACACCTGAAAATGAAACTGTTGTTCACCATCTCATACCAGGCTAGTCAAGTGCACTGGGCTAAGTGTCCATGGTTTAAATACAGTTACTCCACAAATGAATCATAATGGGAACAAAACTTCATTTAATAAGCATTTGATCAAGTAATTGAGGTTTCTGTTTTCTCCTTGTGTCACACAAATAAAATTTGCCTGAAGTAATGTTTAGCCAAGTCAGGTGTAGGCAGCTGAGCCGGTATTAGGTTGTTGCAGATATATTGTTGGCTATAACACTTACAGTCAACAATCCTTTTTGTCTGAGGAAGTGTCATCATTACAGAGTCGGTCCACCAGAGAGTGCTGTTGATTCCCCATGTTCAGGGAATCCTGTTCGTGTCTATTATCAATGTGTAACAGCTGACTGCACTACACTGGTCTTTGCTTCTGATTACCTGGAAAAACACAGTGGATCCTCTGGAAACATTACCACATGTCCACTGTGTGTACAGTGTGTACTAAGTACTAATATTTGTAGTACAGTGTTTTTGCTGTTAGTATGTAAACATGTAAGTATGTTTGATTCTTGTAACAGGAAATGAAACAAAACTTCACAGAGAGACAGCTGGATGTTTCCCAAAAGGTGTAACAGTAGTTTACACATACTTCCTTTGTGCATTGCATTGTGGGACAATAGTGTCCATCATGTGTTTTAGTCTTCATACTGACTGTTTTGAGTTACACAGTGTACGACATTAACATACTTTAAACCTGATTAGATTTATTGTAATGGCTGGATGTGGGTCAGCTGTTCCTCCTTCATCAGACCTCTCAATCTTCTAAATCTGACTGGTCTGGGACGTAATTATTCATCTGATTCATCCATATTTAAATCTCTGAGCTCTAAGAGGTGCAGTGAGGCCCTGCAGAGTAATCTGACTGCAGCCCTGCAGATGTATCTGGACCTGGATCAGGTCTTGGAGGTGGATTATTGTGTCCTCACCCTGCTGCGGTCCTTGCTGCTGATGCTCCACCTCCTGGATGAACAGGTCAAACATCTGCGTCTCGATGAACTTCTTGACAAAGTGTCGAGTGGTCTTGGACTCGATGGCCTTGTAGAAGCTCCTCTTTTCGAACACGGGCCCCTCGGCACCACCGAATTTCACGTAGGAAGAGTAATGGCCCACTGTTTTCACAAAGAAATACAGGAAGGCTTCTGACACCACCCGGTTCAGCTCCTCCACCGCTGAGGGACAGGACAGAAAACATTAGTGGTGATGGAGCCAGACTCCTGACACGCCTGAATTTGTTTCTGCAGCTTCCTCACTTGATGCTTTCTGTCTGGTAGTCAGAGCCTCGAGGATTTCAGCTTGGAGCTTCGGCGGCAGAATAGAGCTTTCATCACCGATCTGGAAAAGGGAAATTTTACACAAATGTTTTAACTGACAAAATGTGTCCTGTGGACTTATTTATTGATACGACACTTACTGAAGTGATGAAGGTCTCCTTCTTCGCCTCAGACAAGTCGACCACCAGCAGCTGCGTTACAGACAAAGAGGAGTTCACTAGTGAGCTCATTCAGATACACAAACCCCACCTCTGAGTCTTCCAGGATAACTCACATCAGTCTGGTCCGTGACCTGGTCCAGCAGGTGTTTCTGGACCCCCAGCAGGTAGGGGGTGGGCGCCATCACCACATCGATGAGGATCTCCGGAACAATGGAGATGAGGGTGTGCTGCCAGGTGAAGGGATAAAGGAGGGCCGCTACTGCATGAATGATCTGGGATAACGTGCTGCAGAGACGAGAGAGACGAGAGAGACGAGAGAGACGATGTCTGATTTATGATCACTTCAGTGTCTGATCACTTGTGATTTAAAGCTGCAAAGGTATTACAAGCACAGGTTCATTCAGCAACAACGCCACATCTGGAGATCAGCCTACTCAAAACTCTGATCCTTTTTCCAGACTAGTGAGTACACCGTAACACTTCTGATCAACGCAGATATTAAATAATAATTCCAATTGCTTCCAAACCTGAGTCACTGTCAGTTAAAGTGAAACACTTCCTGGAGGGTTTTTACATTTAAAGATCATGACCTTTTATCTGCTGGAAGCTGAGTTTGAGAAAGTGAGTTTGAATTAAACAGAGAACAGGTAAAGTTAAGACTACATAGACTACATAAAATAAAAGCCTGGTTCGTTCTGCTGCTAGAAAAATAAAGCGTGGGTACGAACTAGCTGAACAACATAGTGTTTATTTCTAACACATTACACTTTATACTGCCTTTCAGGAATATTATCTTGTGATGAGAAAATCTCTACATATACTAGCTATTAAGCAAAGATAACGTGATGTCAGTGTACAGTAATTAACACATTAATCATCAGCTGTAAACGTCTTCAACCTGCTGTAAAACCTAAAAAATGTCAAAATGCCGAAACAGATGACAAAACAACTTGGGATGTGGCAGCAGAAGTACCAGATCTGCAACTATCAATTAATTTTAATCATTGATTAATTGATTTTAGTCTTGTGAATGAAATGAAAGAAAATGGTGATAAATGTCCCTCAGTATCCCGGAGCCCACGGTGACAGCAGACGTTTTGCTTTGTCAACAGTCCAAAACCCAAAAGTTTCACAAACAATCATTTAAAACAATCGTAAGTGCGTATCAAAATGAATTTTCAAAATGATTTAATGAATAATCTTCTGTCGGTTGACCAATCAGGAGCAGCAGTACAAATGTTTAGGAACCATCTTGGATGAGGATTTCACTCAGTTTGAACATTAGCTATGATCAGCTGGTTGGGTAATCTCAGTGTGATAAACATAAACGTGTGAACCACTGATGTTCTTTGCCACTTGTTTCCAGGCAGAGCCACACAGAGCTCAGGTGGACTCCCAGCATCCTCTGCTGTGTGTTTAATCTGGTTACTGCAGGTTTTACCTGTCTGGAGCTGGTTTCCTTCTTTAGCTGCTCTCTGACGGAGGGGTTGAGGTAAACCTGTGTGCTCTCTTGTATAAACTGTGGTTTGTGTTTGTTGTTGTATTCCTACTTTGTGTATTGTGTAAATAATAGCGCACAGGTGAGTGTGTAATACCCCAATTCATCAGCGATGAAGATGATCCGTCTCTCCAGGACGGCGGCGGCAAACACCAATAACACCTCCTCGTCTGTCAGGCAGCGGAAGAGCGTGGCGAAGTCTACGTGTTCGAGCCAGGAATCCAGCGGTCGTGTCAGACTGATGATCTGGTGAGTGAGAGTCACCACATCACAAACATGTCAACACACGGCTAACGAGCCACTGGCTTCCCACGCCGCCACCGTCTGGTGCTAATAAACCACTTGTTTAAAGGGAGGGAGGAGGTGCAGGTTAGTGTTGGTGCTTTTTATGATTTACTTCCTCCACTTTAAATCAGTGTTTATATACAGAGCAGCTCCTTCCTGTGATTTCTTTTTAGGTTTATTTGATAGGGACAGATGTTATAAACATAGAGAATTGTATAACAATTTTCCAACGCACAACATCACAGCATTTCCAATGCCCGTCCCTAGAAGGGCTTTTAACATTACATATACAACAAACATTAAGCATAGTAACAGTAAAACAATTGAGCACATACATGTATACCACCCACCGATCCCTCCCTCCACCCCCCATCCCTACACACGACCACACGACTGATTATCTTTTAAAAACTTCTTCAGTTTAGTTTTAAATTCTTGATGATTTTGTTCTGTTTTTAGCTCAATAGGCAGCTTGTTCCAGATCTTAGCTCCCTTGATTGAAAAGGAAGTATGGCCGAAGGATGTTTTCCTATAAGATATTTTGCAATTTCCTGCAGTTGTATTTCTGGTTGACAATCCAAAGGCCTTTAACAGCTGTACCATCTCACAGAGAGCCTGAGAAGTCTGTCCATGCAAACACTTCATGATGAGGTTTGCGTGTGCAAATGCAATATAGTTATCGAAACTCAACACGTTCAGGTCTCATTGTGAACTTTACACAGCAGGAGAAGCGGGTCTTTGTCTGGTCATGGTAGCTGCAACACAAACAGTGGACAGCGTCAGTGAATACCTGAGATGACTGAGCTGTTGGAACATGCGGACTGATGGTGTTTCTGCTGTGAGGTAACATTACAGGTTCAGACAGCACTCCACACAGACACACCCAGCTGGAGGAGCTCATTGGGCTACCAGAGAAAGGAGCATGGTCATGTGGTGTTTAGTGTTTGGCCTTGTTGTTGTAATGTGTGGTTTTATGTGGTTAGGCTATATTTTTAGCTCAGAAAGGGCAGCTGTCTCCGGAAGGTTTGCAATATATATAAATTGGGCTGCCCGTTGTTTCCTCTTGTGTTCCTGAATGTGGTCATATTTCTTTAAAGCAGCTTGGCGCAGGTCCAGGTTGACGGGCAGATGTTGAGACTTTATTACTGCGGAGGGAGATCCCAGCTGCTCTCTGAGACACACATGTAATCTGCCTGCATTAAAGACATATGACTTCACTCAGTGACACAAGAGGAACAGACTGAAAGTTATTCCTGTAGGAAGTCCCGGCTCATCACAGCTTATAAATGCGACTACTCACAGTTTTTTTTTAAAGATAATTCAAGCTAAAGTCTAAAACAAAACTATTTATTGCATGTTAATAATCTGCTGTATTTTAGTTGCACATTTCACTATCATACCAGCCACAGTATAATTATAATTTTATTTTAAGTATAAAATAGGGATAGGGAACAAACATTACTGCAGCCAAGAGACCAGATTTAAGAAGTTTTATACCTTTGAACTGAATTCAACTCCATTTAAGGGGACTGTCCATCAGTTATGACGGCTCTATACTCACCAAAATAACTCGCTAATAACACGGTGAGACAATCAGGAACTGAAAGTCAGGTGCGTTGGTTTGGTCAGAGAAGAAGCAGGAGGTGGGACTGTAAACCGAGACAGGTCGGGTCATAGTTTTAC